TGGAGAGACAGGAATTCTCAGCAACAAACAGAGGGGGGGGTGTGGGTGGGGGGGAAGCACTTAAGCAGGTAAAAAACTCCTGCAGTGTCATTTTAAGCTGAATGCTGCTTTTCTTTGCCTTAGCTATGGCTCCCATATTGGCTCAGATTGAAGTTTTCGCGTTGATATGAAGCGATGTGCGTGCAAGTTCCCGCGGTCCGTTGTCGTCCTGGGGAGCTTTTTCTGTATGATAACTTTTAAGGAAGCCTGAATAAATATGATTTTCAAGCAGCCGAAGAATTTAGCAGGGAGGGGGGAAGGCAAAGCCTATAGCCTGCCATCGCGCTGCTGCAAGATTCACGGATGGTATTTGGCCTGAAATTAATCTTTCCCCATATTTATTTACTTTAAGAGATAATCCTGGAATAAACAGAGGCATCTGGGGGATCAGGAAATATTTTGCAGCCTCTTCAGAGAGTCTGCTGGAGAGTCATTCAATCTATTGTGTACAATTTTTTTTCCTCTCTTTTTTTTTTTTTTTTTAAGGAAAGGAGGGGTGAAGAAGGAACAAAAGAAAGAAAGAACTTGGGCAGGCAAAAGAGAAGAGGAAAGGAATGGGAAAAGGACAAAGAAAAGGGGAAAAAAAATTAAAAAGGGAACTTTAATCCGGGTTAGGGCTGAAATCGCAGGCGGGGAGTGGGAGTTGGAGCTGGCTGGAGGGTTACTTTCGTTTCGCTTATGGAGAGATATAAGGGCAGCACCGCCCTTCCCTGCTCCTCCAAAGCGGGGCCTGGGGGGCCGGGGGGGCCAAGCACCGGAGAAAACACCGATTTCTTTTTTAATCCGAACTTGACAGTGTTAATTGAACCGAGGGAAAGCGGGGGAATGCGGATGGGTTTGTTGTCGTTTTTTGTGGTTTTTTTTTTTACCCCCTTCTCCCCCTTCCTGGAGGAGGCTCCGTCTGTCTGCCCAGGGGGGGGCGCGGTGCCTGCTCACCCCCAGACCCTCCGGCCCCGAAGCCTCGGGGTGCCCCGGCGGGCAGCAGCCCCTCTCCTGAGGAAATCGGCTGGTGGTACTGGGGCCTGGAGCTGCGACAGGCAAAGAGGGATACCCCCCTCCCCAATTACTGGGGACCGCAGGCTGGCTTTTCCTTGCCACCACTTTTTTGGGGAAAAAAAAAAATTAAATAGCAAGAAAAACCCAAGAAAGCAGGGTCACCTCAGCAGGCAGGCTGTCCAATAGTTGTTTTTTCTTTCTTTTTTTTTTTTTTTTTGCCTTCTCCCTCTTCTGTCTTTTTTTTTTTTTTTTTTTTTATTAGGGTTATTTTTTTGTCTCCCTTCCTTCCAATCAGGGGAGAATTTCTCAAAGCGAAACCAAAAGATTTGGAAGTGGGGAAAGAGCCCGGCTGCGCGTACAGGGCAGGGCAGGGATGCAGCTCGGGCTGAGCACACACAGCACTTGCAGGGAGCAGGGCGAACATGGGAAGCATTTAGCTCCGAAAAGGTGTCAGAAAGTCAACTGGCCAGGACAGTGCTCAGACAAAGGCTTGATTTTCTGTAACCTCCTAATTTGCGACTCGACTGTCTTGTTGTTTTTTTATTGAATTATTTTTTTTCCCTCCGTCAGGGTAAAAAAAAAAAAAATAAATACTCGTACAGCTTGTGGACTGCTAGTGTTAGTTTTGCTCAACGCAATTAAGTGTTTTTCCCCTGCAAGATTCAAAAGGGGAGGTGAGAGGAAAAGATATTAGCCTGCCTGGAAGGGATGTGATAGTTCATCATTTCAGAAGAGGTAATCTCCTATTAAACAAGTACCGAAGCTTTTGTGGAGGCATAGGAGTCTAGCTGGAGCCTGCATAAAAGCTGCGAGATAACCTTGTAGCTGCTGAATTCAATAGCAAGGCGTGTTTTAATTCCAGTCTGGATATTTGCTCGGAGACACTGCTACTGAAAAGAAGAATATTTCAGGATATTGCTTTATTTGCCTTGCACTTTGAGTGGACTTTATTCACATAACTTTGCGTTCATCCATGGGGATGGTTTCATGTCGAGATAAGCGTGAAAGGACAATATTTTATGGGGGTTCACATCGTGTTAAATTTTATGGGGGTTCACATCGTGTTAAGGGATTCTGCAGCTAAACATGGAGAAAACCTTGTCTTAAGCCGTGTCCTTGGTCTTAAACCGTGTTTTTAGTCCCAAGCCGTGTCTTTAGTCTGCTTTAAGGTGAAGTGTCTCCAGCTCTGCTTTGTGCTGCTTAATTCTGAGACCAGCAGCCCCTGAATGAAAGGGGTTTGTATTACAAACGCTATCTGATTTTTTATTTGAGATCCCACAACAATATGGGGAGCGAATAATTCCGTGGGCTGCAGGTTTCCGTGCAAATAAAGGAAATCTTCGCCAGATATGTTTGCCTTTGTGTAACACCAACATGCACCATCCACGACTAATTTAGTGACCTTGCCTGCTCGCATTAAGGTTACAAAAACTGCTGCTACTTATTATAACTGTGTGGCTTTGGTAATTTCTGCTCGTTTTGCGGTTCGTCTGTGGTATATTCTGACATTTTATTATTTTGTTTTTCCTCTGGAAAACCTCCCCACTGACTCTGCTTTTCAGTGCTTCTCTCCCTCTGCACGCTCAGTCCTTCCTTTCTCTCTCCCTCCTTCTCTCTCTGTCTCTTTTTTCCTTTCTCCCTCTCCCCTTCTGCATACACGTCTGCAAACAACCCCTCTTTTGTAAGGATTCTCTTTAAAATATTCCACCAAAGTAGAAAAGCCAAGCTGCTTTTTCCCCTCCACGTGTCACAGCCCACTGTATTAGCAGCCCTGCAGAGTAAGTATTTAAAAAATAGGAATAGATAAAAGAATGATGAGTGTGTGTGTGTGTGTGTATATATATATTATTTTTTTTCTCGCGAGCATAAAAATAACCGTCATTGGAGACTGGTGATTGACAGATAAATTGGTCTCGATAAAGGCCAAAGAAGACATTCTGCTCCTGCAGGAATATTTCCCTTTAAGGGCTCACATAAAGCAGGGGACTTAAAACGGAATGAGGGATAAATTCTGTGAGGGAGCGAGTCGATGACTTTTCTCTTCGAATTTGGAAAATCCGGAGTCCCTTGACAAACACCCGCGTCATATTTTAATTTTAAAGCCTTTCCTATATTTCGAGAGGCAAACCCTATTTCTACCAGCAGCGAGGGCAGCCTTGTGCATTAAATTTTTTCGCTCGAGCCCTGTGAACTGAGGTGCAGGATTTTACCCTGGCTCAGCTGAGGGCGTAAGTTTGGAGGGGCTGGGGAGGGGGGTGTCTCTTGGCAGCATCACTCCTCCTCGCCTTGTTTATCCCAGAATCTGCCTTAATCTCTTTTCTCCTCCTGCTCGCATTTCCCAAGCAACTTACTGGGG